AAAACTCCTGGACTGTGCCCAAGCTCATCCTTTCTTAAAGGGTTTTGAGCTACTGCTCATTCTTTTATCTATATAAGGTTTGTTCCTACACAATATTGTCAGGTGGGTTCCTGTTTGATAGTGACATACTTTTTACTGGGAAATTGTAATTAAAAAAATCACTTGTCTTGGATTTGAATCCCTCACAGCTCTACTTAATTGGTAGGGATGGTTATATCTCCAAACTGCCCTTTTATACAAAGTCCTTCTACCATGTGTAGCACCACGCATGGCATTCGTTAGGTGATCAAAAAATATTGGATTGGCAGTGAATGAATTTGGAAGCTTCATTCTTTTGTGATAAAAATGAGAGGAACAGAAATCTTGTGTTATAAGCCCATAAGATTGTTTCTGGTGATAAGGATTTTATAAGAAGTAAGCCAGTAGGAGAATATACTTGTATAATGTATGACAAAAAGACAAAGGCTGATGTTTGTGAACGTTATTATTTTTTGTATTCTTAATTCACATTTCTGAGGTGTGCCTATCTGCTCATTTTTGTGTTTTGGTTTTTTTTAAACTGTATTAATTTAGAAAATGCTTAATAAAATACTTCGGGATATTTCATTTTATACATGGATGTGACCAGTCACAATATAATTAATTTAGATAAAAGTAATTTTTCTGTCTCATTCTGTACTGTTCTCCCACTCTCTTTCTTTCTTTCTTTCTTTCTTTCTTTCTTTCTTTCTTTCTTTCTTTCTTTCTTTCTTTCTTTCTCGTAGGGATTTTGCTATGGCAAAATAGAATGTAACATTTCCTTTTTAGTGAGTGTTTTAGAATTTGAATAATGACAATTATATAAAAATGGTATTTTTTCTGAAAAACAAAAAAAAAAAAGCTGAGCAGCCTGCTCTCTAAAAGCAGGGTCACGAAGACTCTTCAGTTCCTTTTTTTCTGACACCTATTCAGTTCTTGGCCATTTATCTTATGTATGTAATGGTTGTGATAGGAAGGCCTCAGGAAAAACATGCCAAGGAAAAAGAAGGCCTTTCTGGGGCAGGAAGAGTTCTCAGGTCAGAGCAACCCCAGGCAATTTTACCACATCATTAGAGCAAGAAAACCCCAAGAGAGACTTTTCCTTTAATCCATTTCTGTCAGTGTCACCCTCTTTGCAACTGAAGTAAAGGAGCACAGCCTTATGCAATGGATTCTAGGGATCCCTAGATGTGCCCATATTCTGGAAGTTAACATTAAAAAATATATTAAAGGTAGAAAGCCGTTGGGAAAAATCAGAGAGATCATCAGATTATGAATGTCATTAGTTTTGGTTATTATTACCTTATGGAAATGACTACTTAATGAGCTTTGAGACTTTAGGCAAGGCAATCTCTCTAAGCCCCATGACCTTATCTGTAAAATGGAGTTAATGATAATACCCATCTCAGATGGTTGCCATGAAAATTAAAGAAAACATAGTGCATTGCTGAGCGTTCTTAGTTATACACCCCAGAATCTGGGTCTGACTGGCTTAAGCAGAAAAGGATTTGGAGCAGATATAGGAAATCTCAGGCTCACTAGAAGAGCTGGAGAGCTAGACTCCGAGTTTATACGGCTCTGAATTACAGTTAAGATCATGACACAGAACTAGTCTGGAGGGGACTGCTGCATTACTGTTGAGTGTTGGATGTCACAGCTTGCATCTCCGGTACTGGGGTTGTCATCAGCACTGTTGTCACTGGTGCATTTGAAGCCAACTATTGCTACTACGGCTTCTTGAAACAATTCTTCACTGTTACCAATTCCTTATATTACGCGCTCCTGGTCCAAAATGTCAGGCAAGTGATTCTGGGTCATATAGTTATGCTTTGCGGCAAGGAACTCGGGAAAGCAAAGTTTACCATGATATTAGCTTTTGTGAGGACACTCTGCCCTTTTATGAAGTGGGCTGTGCCTGCCATAGAGACTTAGAAAACCAGGAATTCCCAAAGCAAAAGAGAAGAGTTCAGAGCTGGGCAGTCCCCAAACTGATATATTGCTGTTACTCATAAAATGCTTAGTACTATGCCTGACATGTGCTAAGTGCCCCCTCTCCCCTGATGTTGGCTTTTTTTTTTTTTTTTAGATTTTTTTTTTTTAATTGGGGAATTGGGGGATGGGAACAGTGCTGGGGACTTGGGGGAAGGGAAACAGACAAGTTGCTGTC